TGGGGAACTGGAAAGGGCAGGCCAGATGCCGGCAGGACGTCCCTTCTGCTCAGTGTTTCCCCAACAGGAGAAACAGCCATAGCTGTTCATGTTGGAAGTGGGGTTTTGTAAGGGGAGAATAAAGATGAAAATTCAGCGGCATGTTAATCGCTCAGTTGGCCTTTCCCTTCTATCACCTATGATTTCCCCCTCTTCTGTTTTGAATCACTCACTGGGATCATAGAAGCACAGAATTTATTTGTTTGTTTGTTTGTTTGTTTGTTTCTTTGTGAAGCTATACCCGCCCACCTAGACCGAAGTCTTCTCTGGGTGGCTAACAATAATAGATAAAAGTAAAAACAATGTAATAAAATAAAAATAACAGTAATAATATAGTTCAAGATGGGAAAAAGAATCAGGTGACAACAGGAGGAAAAGCCTGGCGAAAGAGCCAGGTCGTAAGTTTGCTCTTAAAAACATCCAGCGAGGGATTTCGGGGGGCAGACGGTTCCAGAGGCAAGGGGCCGAGAAGGCCCCGTTTCTTGTTCTTTCCCTCTGGGCCTCCCTCAGCGTTTGGCCCCTCAGCCACCCCTCTTGGCTAGAGTGAATGATTTGGGTAGATCTAGGTGGCAGGAGGCGTTCCGCTAGATATCAAGGTCCTAAATCATTTAGAGCTTTATGTGCCATCATTAACACTTTGAAATCAATGCAGAACTGAACGGGCAGCCAATGCAAGGCAGCCAGAGTGGGGGAGATATGCTGATGTTTTCTCACCCCAGTAAGAAGTCTCGCTGCCGCATTCTGCACCATTTGAAGCTTCTGCATCAATCTCAAAGGTAACCCCACATAGAGTGTGTCACAGTAGATTTATCTTGAGACTACAAGCACATGGACCAGAGTGGTGAGTGCCCCAACATCTATTTGGCAGTTTTCAGAAGTTAAAGGTGCAGGCTACACATTGCCCTGCCCGTCCCCCCCCTGCAAGCTGGGTACTCAATTTACTGGCCTCGGAAGGATGGAAGGCTGAGCCCACCTGGAGCCAGCAACCTGAGATTAAGCCCAGGTGGTTAGCAGAGTCTTGGCTGCAGGGCTGCAGTTTAACCACTGCGACAGAACCCACAGGAAGCCCTTCACCCCACCGCACCCCCCAATGTGCGAAGTCAGGCCAGTCCCAGCATGCATGCACTGCAGCAATCCCCAACAGCGTCTGAACATCCCCCACTCCCCAGCTCTTCCCAGAACATGACATCACACAAGAAGGAGACTGGGAGCAGCCGAGTCCCCCCTCATTGATCTTCAGCCAGGGCCTTGAGGGCAGCTGCCACGCCAGCCACGGCCATCTCGTTCATCTTGCATGGGTAGAAGCCATCCTTGAGGGTGAAGCGGGTGTGCACAGTCCGCACCACGGCTGGATGGGTCACCCGGTGCTGAGCGTCCACAAAGGGCCCCGGGTTGTCCTTTGGGATAAAGTGCATCACCACCAGGAGGATCTTCTGCTTGCCTGGAAGAGGAAGGAGAGGAGCAGCCGTCAGACCAAGCCTTGGGGGAGGCCAGAGGGGGGAAAAAAGGATGAAGCACAATCATCCCCACTGAGTATCTCAGTTCCCTGATGAGAAGGGGAAATATTTACAGGGAATTTGTTTATATATTTATTTTATCCTGCCTTTCTTCTTAGAAATGATCTAAGGCAACTCACATAATTTAAAAGACAATATCTCAAAGCTAAAAACAGTAAGTACAAAAATATCTAAAAAGAATTAAGCAAGTATTATATTAAACATAGTAAATAAAATCAATACGAAAACATATTAAAGCTAACAGAGCATAACAGGTCATTGAAAAAAACCCTCTGAGACCATGAGTCTTTTAAGGAAAAGCCTGCTTGAAGAGAAAGGTCTTTGCCTGCCTGCAGAAGGACAGCCATGACAGGATCAGACTGGCCTCCAGTGGGAGGGAGTTCCACTGTCTCTGGAAGCAAGAAAACAGCAGGCCCTCTCTTGTGTCTCCACCAAGTGCACCTGTGAAGGATGGAGAGGAAGGCCTCTCCTGATGATCTTAACACCTGAGCAGGCTCATCATGGGAGACACGGTCCTTGAGACAGCCAGATCCAGGCCATTTTGGGCTTCATAGGTTAGAGCCAGCACTAACCTTCAGAAAGGTTATTGGCAGCCAATGAAACTGCCTGTTTCCAAAACCTGATGGAATTTAACCACTCAGAAAGAGATCTAATATTCTGGAAGATGTGATTCTTTATACGTGATCCTTGGAAAGCATGAAAAGTCTTTACTGAGAAAAAAAAAACAACGCACTCTAGCCTGTTTGCAGCTTAATAAAGAAATAAATTTCTTGTCGTTCCTTTAGCAAGGCTGACTATCAAAAGTCTTGCTGACTATCAAATGGTCCCCGATTCAGTTGCCAGCTGTATAGGAATGAATTCCACTCCTCTGCGATTTGCTCCTGTGATCATCAGTTGGAGCCGAGATGGACCAAAGTAAAGGTCAAGGTTCCCAACTCTAGGGC